CATGCATGTTTATTTATAGCACGGCTATAGTCGTAATTTATAGCCATAATCATAGTTATTTTATGTAATTTAATTTTTCCAGTAATTATAATTTTTATGGTTATTGACAAAATGAAAAATACTTTATTTCGTATTAAGTATTAACATTTAACACAGAAGTATTAAGTATTTAAGTATAATATCATGTCGCCTATAACTAGATACCAGTTATATATATATATATTATATATTTCATACAATTCTTTGTTATTAATGATAATAAAATAAAGTTATATATTTAATACAATTCTTTGTTATTAATAATACCTAATAATAATAATAAGATGTTATGTTAAACTTCCAAGAATTTTAAACATAATTGATTAATAATTTGATTGTTGGTTGTAAGTATGCCCCCAAAAAATAGTTGAGTAACATAATATATCGAACTTTGCAATAGTTGTAGTTCATTAAATTGAATAATTTTGAAACATTACGTGTGTATTTTACAGCATGAAAAATAGCATCTAAACTAGGTAATAAAAATTAATCTTAATATTATTATAAATGGTATTTCAAATGGGAAACATATTTTAAACGTGTGATAACTGAGAGGTATTTTGAACTACAGAGGGTAAAGGCACACCCTGCTATGAAACCGTACAACTACTACAACGAACACAATCGCAGTGGCGAAACATGCCGAGCTCACCGTATACGCTGACGTATATAATATCTGCAATATCGTATTAATTATTATGAATATTGTTGTAGCCTGTAGGTATAATCGGTTGAAGTTAACGTATCTAAATGATGGATGACCGACTGGTTAAAGTTATCTTAATTGATTTAACAATCAGCCTGTCGAATTTATCGAGCAATATTCATTGAAATATATATATCAGCTGTCGTGGTCGCGTACGTTTTATGTAGTACGAGTTCGAATAGRTATTTGCATTCTAGTTCAAACTAGTTTTAACTGACTTATTTGAACTTTGAACCTATGGTTAATTCTARTTTTAACTAGTTAAAACCAGAAATTACTAAAGAGATTTGTGGAAGTTAGTTTTGACGGATTTTTGATTTTAACTGGAAAATATACACTAACAAAAAGAAAAACTCATCGTTGTAAATACCTACATTTTTTGTTCTGCTTAGAATTGAAAAAATTTGTATAACAATAGATATCTATTAAATTGTTTTGAAAGAATATTTAATTTTTGACAAACCAATATTATGTCTATTATGTCATGCCTACCTTTAAAAAAATGACTCTCTGTAATTTTTGTAATGGCAAATGGATTACAATCTAATAAGATTAGATATTCAAAAATATAAAAAATATAAATGTATGGTAAATACGTTTTACCCATGTAGTGCGTGGATCAGAGGGAAAACTCAGAACGGACATTGCGCTGATATCGTCTTAATATATTCCTATTACTATTACTTATCTTACGTTAGTAATGTAGGCGCAGAGGCGCAGCTGATGACTGTTGTAAATAAATCCTATTTTTGACAGCTAATTTTATCTGTATTAAATATAAATATAGATACATTATATACCTAATTAATTAAGAGTTAGAGATGTCCATAATATGTGTTATAGTGTTGTCTCCGATTGTCTGATAGACTCCGTCTTTCAAATGTACCTACCTATACATCATTTAGATAGGTAAGAAAATACAATGTTTGCTGCTAGCTATCAGTTTTAATATTAGGTACTATACATTTAATAAGTTGGTAGGTCGTGGTTGGTAGGTACATATCATTATTAATTTTAAAACGAATACAATCAACGGAAAACTGATAATATTCTCATTTTTTTTAATGCCTTTTGGAAATCATCGATGATCAAAATTACCATTGAAGGCTTTCGATTACATTTCACAATTAAATTCGTTACTTAAATTGTCTGAACGTTCACTGCGCCACCATGCCGTTTAAGGAAGGAATCTAATATAGTAATATCTATACAATATTTTCAAGACATATTATTACATAGTTAACAACGGCGTACCCACTGGCCTCCCCGGTGACGTGACTCTTGGCCTCTTAGCGTATAATCTACCGTAGTTGAAACTTGAAACACAGATTTCTATATGGTTAGTAGTGCTATATAATTTCCATACAAAAATAAAAAGTCTCAAATATAGATATAAAATACAAATCGTTGTAGTAAGTAAAAAATTTAAATTTTATAAATGGCCAGCCATGGAG